GGTTGGGGCGCCTGGGTGGCTTAGTTGGTTAAGCGTCCGACTTTCGCTTGGGTCATGATCTCGCGGTTCGTGGGTTCGAGCCCCGCGTCGGGCTCTGTGCTGACTGCCAGCTCGGAGCCTGGAGCCTGTTTCAGTCTGTGACTCCCTCTCTCTCTGACCCTCCCCTGCTCACGCTGTCTCTCTCTCTCTCTCCTAGAAATAAATAAAACATTAAAAAATATTAAAAAAAATGGTTTGTGGTTAATTTTTATGTTACATGAATTTTAGCTCAATAAAAAAAGTGGGGCGCCTCGGTGGCTCAGTCGGTTGAGCGTCTGACTTCAGCTCAGGTGACGATCTCACGGTTCGTGAGATTGAACCCCACATCAGGCTCACTGCTGTCAGCCCAGAGCCCGCTCTGGATCCTTTGTCTCCCTCTCTCTCTCTGCTCCTCCCCTACTCGCTCGCTCTCTCTCTCTCTCTTTCTCTCTCGCTCTATCAAAAATAAATAAAAACATTTTTCAAAAAGTTACAAGTGTCCCTGAATCTGGGCAAATACCAAAAGTGGGTCCCTGCTTTTGTGTCGTGGTCTGACATGCTGGCCAGCCCCCAAGCTGCAGGGAGCCAGTGACGGCTGGGCTCCGATGGCCCACAAAGTGATGTCTTAATGCAGACCAGCTGAGGAATTTCTCCTTCATAGGTCCTCAGCTTTTCGGATATGTGCTTCTCCCCCTCGAGGTTTGCTAGAACAGTTACTCATGGAGTTTCCACCACAGGCTGAGTTGGAAGTGTTTCTTTCATTCCCATTGTTTTCAAAGAACTTGTGCCTCATGAAACCAAAATAGCAAGGGAAAATATGGTCAATTTTCTGGTTTCAGCAAAATCTAGTCAGCCACTTTGGCTCCACAAGTCATTCTCATCTACTCCTGGCCAACACTCTTCAGGCCAGGACCCAGTGATGGATTTTTCAAAACAAAAGGGGTGAGGGGCACCAGAAAAGCAAGTGGGGGGACCATCATATGGCCTTTGACTTCACAGTAACCCCGGAATTTCCATCTCATACCGCAAAGGTACCTTTTGTGGCAGCAAAGAAAGGATCATGGATTCACCCTACAGCTTTACTAACTAATGAGAGTCCTGGGAGATGGAGAAACCAGTTTGTCTCAGGAAAGGTGGTCTGCTGACAGCCTCACAGGCCCTGTGGATCGTAGGGTGGAGAGCTGTCCCATCTGAGGAGTTCTAGAGAGTTCTAGGAGTTCTAGTCCAGAGAGGCCTACCGGCCTAAATCTTGATAACCGCCCCAATATTGATAACTGAAAACAAATGCTCAACAGTAGGGGAATGAGGGGCACCTGAGAGGCTCCATCCATTAAGAGTCCGGCTCTTGGCTTCAGCTCAGGTCATGATCTCACAGGTTGGACGTTCAAGCCCCACACCGGGCTCCGCACTGTTAGAAAGGAGCCTGCCTGAGATTCTCTGTCTCCCTCTCTTTCTGACCACCCCCCCACTTGTGCTCTCTCTCTCTGTCTCAAAATAAATAGATAAACATTTAAAAACAAAACAAAATAATAGGAGAATGAATACTGAACAAACCAGCACCCCCATCCAGAGAGTAGTACTCTGCAATCAGAAGGAATGAGCAACTTGTCTACCTAGTGACATCAGTGAACCTCACACAAATACTGCCCTACACCCTACAGCGCCTGAGTCTTGATAATGAAGGATTTGTTCTCTTTGGGGTGCAGGTGCTCTCCCCCTACAGACTTCCTTTTTTCTTCTAAGTCAAGTTGATTGAGGTATAATTTACTTACAATAAAATGTACCCATTTTAAGTGTATAACAAATGTATACACCCATGTAACCACCACCCTAATTATTATTTAGAACATGCCTACCACCCAGAAAGTTTCCTTGGGTCCCTTTGATGGCGGTCCCCTCACTATCTGCAGCTCCAGACAAGCACTGATACACTTTCTGAATGATAGATTAGTTTTGCCTATTCTAGAATTTCATATAAATGGAATCAGGGCCACCTGGGTGGCTCAGTCAGTTGAATATCCTACTCTCAATTTTGGCTCAGGTCATGATCCCAGGGTCATGGAATCGAGTCCCCCATCAGGTTCTGCAATGAGTATGGAGCCTGCTTGAGATTCTCTCTCCCTCTCTCTCTCTCCCTCTCTCTCAAATTAAAAAAAAAGTTTAAATGGAATCAAACGGCTCCTTTGCTCAACATTATGTTTGTGTGATTCATCTATGTTTTTCTGAATGTCAGTTGTTCACTCATTTGTATTGTTGAGCAGTATTCCATCTTTTCATGTGCTTATTAGTCATTTGTATATCTTCACTGATAAAACAGCTTTTCAAAATGGGTGTTCCATTTTTTTCAAAATGGGTTGTCTCGGAGGCACCTGGCTGGCTCAGTTGGTGGAATATTTGACTCTTGATCATGGGGTCTTGAATTCAAGCCCCATGTGGGGCATAGAGAGTACTTAATAAAAAGAAAAAAATTAAAATATTAATGGGTTGTCTTATTATTGCATTTGAAGAGCTTTTGAAATACATACAGAATTTTTAGGGGCAAGACCTCTATCAGATATTGTAATGGTTCTAATCTGGGTGGCTTCACCTATTCAACAAATAAATCCTTATTAAACACCTACTGTGTCTTAGACTCTAGAGATAGCAACGTAAATAAAACAGAAACCGGGGTGCCTGGGTGGCTCAGTTGGTTAAGCATCTGACTATGGCTCAGGCCATGATCTCATGGTTCGTGGGTTCGAGCCCCGCATCAGGCGCTGTGCTGACAGCTAGCTCAGAGCCTGGAGCCTGTCTTCGGATTCTGTGTCTCCCTCTCTCTCTGACCCTCCCCTGCTCTCTCTCTCTTTCTCAAAAATAAATAAAACATTTTTAAAAATTTTTTTAAAAAACAGAAACTCTGGCCCTTGTTAAAGAGCCCCTTCTGATTCCACTGCGACCTTGTTTTGTCAGGCTCGTTTAATCTTTTTTTTTTTTTCCCTAGCTAAGGCGGTAGAACCCTATCCCTGCCTGCATCTCGGGAACACGTCGTTCATAATCCTGTGACTTGTAGTCAGAGTAATATTGTCTGTGCTGCTGAGTGTGTTTTAAATTAAAGCGCCAGGGGATGTGGAGACGGTCATTAATTTTAAGTGCATCTATTGTTAGCAAATGATGTCACCGCTAAGCTCTCCAACTTGTCATAAGAAGTCGGGATGTATTTCGGGTTTCTGCAGCAGCAGGAACAGTTCCTGTTTTGCAGTGCACAGGCTATGAATACGGTCTGCATTCTGTCAGGAGCAGGAGAGCGTTCAGTACACATTTAAAATCATATTGGCTCTTAGAAGCAAACATTCTGTCCCAATGAGTCAATCAAACTTCATATCCTTTCTAGGTAGGAGAAATGGCAAGGAGCTGGCTGTTCGCATTTATATAAATGTCAACCTCTGTCCTTTGGAGGCCCCTCGAGGTAGAGAGCCATGTCCTATTTATCATAGTGTTCCCTGCACCTTGTTCCATTTTTTTTTCTCATTTATTTATTGGGTCTCTCATAAAGGAATAGAAGTTTCTCAAGGACAAAAGCAATGCAGTTATATCCTTCCTAATATCCCTTGAGTGTACTGAAGATACATACCTGTTGATGCCATTGAATAGAGCAAGGTCTACTTTTTGAAACAGTGGACTGACTAAAGGGTAAGAAAATTCTATTACTACCATTTTAGAATTATCTGGTAAATTTTCTCTGCCAGCACTGCACATAGAAGTCTATTACATGGGTAGTTATAACCTCAAATAATTACATTTACCCGAAGGTCAGAAAAAACAGATTGTTTGTGTAGAATCCTTTACTGCAGAATTTATCAAGGGATTTTTCCTTGGGTAATCTCACATTCACGCAGGTGGGGCTGTAGAGGTGGTGTGGGGGGAAAATTGTGATGAGTCTTCTTGTTATATTAAAACCCACATAACAATAGAACTAAAACATTGGGGAAAATGTTTCAGCATCCATAATCACACAATTTCAACATTCTTTCATTTTTTCTCTTTTCTAAGTTTTTTATGTTTGTTTATTTTTGAGAGAGACAGAGACAGAGAGACAGAGAAACAGAGCACAAGTGAGGGAGGGGCAGAAAAAAAGGGAGACACAGAATCCCAAGCAGGCTCCACATCGTCAGCACAGAGCCTAATGCAGGGCTCGAACTCACGAACCATGAGATCATGACCTGACCCAAAGTCGGATGCTTAACCAACTAAGTCACCCAGGTCTCCCTATTTTCATTTTTTCTTCTTCCTTTAAGAAGATGGTTTAAGAGATTTTTTTCCTAACTAAATGAGTTTCAAATAATATGATTAGAAAACCACTGGAGTTTTTGGTGATTACACAAATGCATTCATATCTGAAATTGAAAATCACCATATATATTTTATACATATGGCTCAGGAATTTGTGGGGCTTTTTAATGTTTGTTTATCTTGAGAGAGAGAGAGAGAGAGAGAGAGAGAGAGCGCGAGCACGAGCATGACTGGGAGAGGGGCAGAGAGAGAAAGGGAAAGGGAGAGGGAGAGAATCCCAAGCAGACTCCGTGCTGTCAGCTCAGAAACTGATGCAGGGCTCTTGATCCCATGAACCGTGAGATCATGACCTGAGCCAAAATTAAGAATCTGACACTCAACCTACTGAGCCATCCAGGTGCCCCAGGAATCTTATATTTAAACAAATAAATAAAACATTTAAAAAAATTTTTTTAAATAAACAAACAAAACCCACCCCCTTCTCGGTTTTACCTCATTCTCCAGTCCCTCCCCCATGATTGCAGTTCAGTGAAATGTAATCAGAACTGGTGTCCATGTACAGCTCTCATGGAAGCCACTTGAAGACCAAGCTCCTTGGGTAGAAGCCCTGTGGTTTCCATGCATCTTCTAGAATCTTCTATGGGCTTGCCAACCCCTGCACCCACTGGCAGCTGTCTGCTGGGGATCGAGAAGGAGAAGGCCTTGGAACTCACCATGCAATAGCAGCACCAGCATCCTGTGGCCTTTCACGTATCTGGTGGCTTAGAACCACCCAGCTGTGGAATCCCTCCCTGAGGGGAGACAGTACAGGTCAACGAGTGCTCACGAGGGGTCCCTTGAGAACCAGGACACACAGGCCCCTCCCCACACCTCCGCACCTTCTCCCAAATGCCCTGCCTTTGCCCTCTTCTTCCTCACACTCATTTCTCCCCATTCATGTTGGCCTTGGGTTAAGAGAAACCAGTAACAACAGCCAATCAGAAGCTCCCCCCACGCCGACAGCTCGGATCTGTTTGGAAACCCTTGGTCAGACTAAAAAACCTGACAGCAATGCAGATGGACTCACTGACAACCCAGCAAGCAAACGGCCAGAGAGGAAACCACTGCGGAGAAGCATCCGTGAATCGTCCCCAAATGTCGCTTACTGTCCTGGGGCTCTGCCTGGTCCTGCTCCTCCTCCGAGGTGCCCTTCGGCTCCCCCAGCCCATCCATCTCCCGAGTCCGGCAGCCGCAGATGCTAAAAATGGTCCGACAGAGAAGTAATGGGGGATGGGGTGGGGTGGTGAGCAGGAGTCGAGGAGGAATACTTGCTTGTGCAGGTTTGAGTGCTTATTTTTCTTTCTCCAGATTTAATGGCAGGAAAATCCTGTATCAGATGAGGATTAACAGAGATGAAGGAATGTGTCTGCCTTTCGAATCACCAAAGCCAGTGACAGATTTTGCTGACACACCAATCGGCTTTATCCCCAGGCCTTGGCCGCTCCATCTGCCTGGCCCCTTTCTCTCCTTAAACCCTCCACAGACCCCACCTCCCACCCTGACCCCAGCCCCAGCCCCCAAGCGGTAGGCAGCCAGAAATTGGCTGCCGGCCACCCAAATAGCATTATCAGCATTTTCAACAAGGACGTGTTATATAACTTCGAGAGGTGGGAAAGGGACAGGACAGCTTAAAATAATAATGTTTTTCCCAAAATGCAGGCTGCTCACTTCCTTCCTGTGGAGTGGCTGATGGCAGATGACCTAAGCCCAGAGTGTGAAGAGAGGGTCCTTCACTACAGTAAGGCTAGAATCCTGGCTTGGGGGGTTGAGGCTGTGCTAACCACCGACTAAGACAGCAAGTCCACGGGTCATTTCCAGAACCTGACTGAGGTTTCTCAAACCCAGTAGGACTCAGTTAGGACTCACTCCTCTGGAGGGTCTTCCAGAACTAGAACTACAGAGACCACCAGGAGCAGTAGCATTAGGGAGCTGGTTAGGAATGTGGAATCTCAGCATTCCCACCCCACCCCCAGAGTCCTATGCTCCGGGTGTGAATCTGGGCATCTGAGGCTGCTGTGCCGGGAAATTTTTTTCTTCCACCGGCGCCTTGTAAAGCCAAAACATGGCCGACCTTGTCATAACCTCTACTGGGAAGGAAACCGTACTGGGGCTAGGGTAGAGACGGGGGTGGATGAAGCCCTCCAAAGGAAGCCTCTGCCCAGACTGGCCCACTCTGCACAGATGGGATTGGTGGGCAGCGCTCCCTGGGTGACCACTGGTGTTCAAGGTGTCCTCTCAGCCTTCCTTCCAGACCTTGGCCCAATGAAGCCTCTTCCCCCAGCAGAAGGCCAGAGGCTAAAACGTGGCTGTAAGAACAGCCTGTCTGCGGGCACCTGGGTGGCTCAGTCAGTTAAGCGTCTGACTTCGGCTCAGGTCATGATCTCATGGTTTGTGGGTTTGAGCCCCACATCAGGCTCTGTGCTGACTGCCAGCTCAGAGCCTGGAGCCTGTTTCAGTCTGTGACTCCCTCTCTCTCTGACCCTGCCCTGCTCATGCTGTCTCTCTCGCTCTCCTAGAAATAAATTAAAAACATTAAAAAAAAAAAAAAGAAAGAAAGAAAGAAAGAAAACATTAAGAAAAAAAAGAAATAAAACATTAAAAAAAAAAAAAAGAACAGCCAGTCTGCATCTATGGTCCTTGCCCATGGCTTATTGGATTCACCTTGCCTTCAGTCTTCTCCAGGCTAGTGGGCCCATTGCTCTGGGCCAAGGATCTCCCTGAGGAAGACCTTCTCTGCCTGTGAAATCAGACATTTTTCCCGAGTGGAAAGGAAGGGGCAACCAGGGGAGAAAGGAAAGGACCCAACCACGGGGCCAGCTAATACCACTGACTCCAACTGGGGGACCAGCAGCCTTGTCATCAAAACCTTGTTCCCAAGGGGTTAAAAGCAAGAGGAGGAAGGGCACCTGGGTGGCTCATTCGGCTGAGCATCGGATTTCAGCTCAGGTCCTGATCTCATGGTTTGTGGGTTCGAGTCCTGCCCTCTGCTGTCAGCTCAGATCCCGCTTTGGATCCTCCCACCGCTTGTTTCTCTGTCCCTCCCCAGCTCGTGTGCTCGTTCGCGCACACGCACGTGCACACGCACACACTCTCTGAAAAATGAACATTTAAAAAATAATAATAATAATAAACAAAAGCAAGGGGGTAAGACTTGTCACAGGAAGTGCAGCTGACTGGCATGCCCTCAAGGAGAAACATCAAACAGGACCATTTTCCAGAGATCAAGATAGCCTGGCCCCCAGCCACTCTGTGGCTGCCCAGGGAGTTGGCGATTGGTACCTGTGCCCAGACTCTGTTGCGATGCAGCCGGTAGCTGATAAGAAGGGGCAGGAAAAGGGAAGAGGAGTATGTAAGCAAGCATGTGAAACAGAAGTGGCCCAGGATGCAACACTCTGCCTTTGCAGGTGGCTTTCTAGAAAAGCTTCTATCAGCAGAGGAGGGGTGGGGTGCCCTGCTTCCCAGGGAATTCCTGCTGCACCAGTTTGGGGGCAGCCAGCAGGGACGCAAGAAGGGGCCACTCATGCAAGGAAAAGACAAAATCCCTCCTGCCTGCCGATTTGTGGGTTCAGACGTTCAGTGGCCTCCTATGTGCGCTCTCAGAGGGGGCTTGGATATGAAGCCAGATCCTTTGTTTCTCTGCCTCTGACTCCTCCTGCTTGCACAGGCAGACACACACCACATGGAGACAAGACCATCCCGCAGGGACAGAGGGCACGGGCATGTTAAACTTGACTCCCAGGGAAACAAAGCAAGGTGCCCCGTTTCCTTTTTTTTTTTTTTTTTGGTTCTTAGTTTTATTTACATAACTACACACCCAACGTGAGGCTCAAACTCACGACTCTGAGATCAGAGCCGATTGCTTTTCCGACTGAGCTGGCCAGGTGCCCCAAGGTGCCCTATTTCGTTTCATACGAGATGAGACAAACTCCAACTCCTGGCAGAGCCCTGGAAGGAACTGGTAACCACTTCATTCAACGCCTTTATTTACAGATGAGAAACCGCAGGCCCAGCTGCAACATGAAATGTCCTTATGTTTGATTCAAGATGCCCCCAGAAACATATCCTGAGACAAAAATACAAATGGAAGTGTAGTCAACTCTTGAAGAACATGGGTTGGAAATGCGCAGGTCCATTTATATGAGGATTCTTTTCCAACAAACACAGAACAGTACTGTCAATATATTCTCTCCTCTTTATGATTTTTTTCTTTTAAATGTTTTTTATTTATTTCTAGGAGAGAGAGAGAGACCGAGTGAGCAGGGGAGGGTCAGAGAGAGAGGGAGTCACAGACTGAAACAGGCTCCAGGCTCTGAACTGGCAGTCAGCACAGAGCCCGACGTGGGGCTCGAACTCACGAACCGCGAGATCATGACCTAAGCGAAAAGTCAGACACTTAACCGACTAAGCCACCCAGGCGCCCCTCCTCTTTATGATTTTCTTAACATTTTCTTCTCTCTAGCTTTATATGGGAAAAATAAGGCTTAGAATACATAGAACATATATACACATACATATATGACTGTTTATGTTATCGGTAAGGCTTCTGGTCAACAGCAGGCTATTAGTAAAGTTTTGGGGGATTCAAAAGGTATACATGGATTTTTCGACTGCCTTAACCCTCCATGTCATTCAAGGGTCAACTCTCCTTGATTTGGGAGGTGATTCCCGGAAGCACCAGCAGGAGAGAGGGGAATGGTGTGGGGGTTTTTTGTTTTTTAAAGTTTATTTATTTTGAGAGAGAGAGAGAGAGAGGGAGGCAGCGCAAGCATGAACCAGGGAGGGAGAAAGGAGGGAGAGGGTCCGAGAGAGAGGGAGACAGAATCCCAAGCAGGCTCTTCGAGGTCAGCACAGAGCTCTGAGGGGCTTAAACTCAGGAACCGTGAGATCATGACTGAGCTGAAACTGAGAATCAGACTGAGCCACCCAGGCGCCCTGGAAATCAATGGTGTTAATGAGCTAGTTGGGCACTGTGGGCAAGCGGATCCACCAACACCCACCCTTGGCAGAGGGCTGCTCCCAGAGGAGATAAGAGACTGCTTATTCTCCAGCAGCCTCTGGCTACCAGGCAAAATGATGGAATGCACTGATTCCTAAAGAAACTTCTTCCCAGGGTCATTTCTTACAGCAAATCGAGGGGCAGAATTCCTTCTGAAAGCTGGGAGTAGCTAAGCTTCCCCAGTGTGGAATTGGTAAAGAAGTGCCAATTACAAGGGTGCTTGGGTGGCTCAGTCAGTTAATCATCCCATTTTGGCTCAGGTCATGGTCTCGCAGTTCGTGGGTTCGAGCCCCGCATACAGCTCTGTGATGACAGCTCAGAGCCTGGAGCCTGCTTCAGATTCTGTGTCTCCCTCTCTCTCTGCCCCCTACTCCACTCATGCTTTGTCTCTCTGTCTCTCTCTCTCAAAAATAAGATAAACATTAAAAGAAAAATTTTTTTTTAAAAAGAAGTGCCAATTACCAAGGTGGCATGGTGCAGGAAGGCATGTTGGGATTTTTGCTCAATGCAGAGCTGCTCTGGGATGAACTGGAGGGTCTCTTGTTCTGTTCTGATGGGTGAGGTTGTCTCTCAGGGGCTCCACAGCTGGTGGGTGCACCCTACGTGGTACAGTGACACTGGAGGCTTTGCCTGTTATTCGGAGGACCCAGATTCACCTCCAGCCTTTCTGCACTGTGGTCACAATTCACAGACACTCTGACCCTCCATGGCCAGTCCCCCAGCCTTTGCGCCTTTCCTCACTTTTCTACCTGCTGAAGTTCCAACCTTCCCGGCAGGCTTAGCACAAATGCTACTCCCTCTAAGAAATGAGCCCCTTCTGGTACCCCCCACCACCACCTTTTTGCCCACAGGCCTTGCCATTTATAGTGTTTGGTCCAGGGCTGTGCTTGATCCAAGTCTGTGCTCCCACAATGCCAAGATCACCCTCAGACTGGGAAAGACAGAGGGAGACTCAGGATGAGGAGTCATGGGGACCTGGAATCTCAGAACCACGTGTCCAACAGATTCTGAACCCACTTTTCTTAGTCCACCCTCCTAAGGGTAGACTCTGCCACTACCGTGTATACTCAAGAAGTGGCCTCTTGAGGGGCAGGCAGCTGATTGCACATGAGGACATGTGTGGGAAAGGGCCCTCGTGCTATGGGGTGGACCGGGGCTGGGAAGAGAAGGAAGTCACACCACAGGCCTTGAGCTGGTGCCGCTCTCTCTGCCACCATGTTCCAGCTCAGAATGCTGAGGAACATAGGAATTCCAAACTTGAACCCGGCTTTCCAGATTGTTATGGAGGTATATCTGTCAAGATAGGAGGATAGAATATTTTTAACAGTTGG